ATTCACTAGGCCATCCGATCGTTGCTACTGACTGCCGCTCCGATCGTTGAAGAAACCATTCCAGGAGCCGTTCACTCTTGATCACGTGCCACAAGTAAGACCCCATACAGCGACTACTTGTTCTCCTCGATTCCGATGGTACCTTTATAGGAACCCTTCACTCAGCAATTGGTTCACTTTTCAAGCGGGTTCGAGCCCATAGAGACTCAAAAACAACCGACTCCACAGTTTCGCTCCTTTTTTGGTGCTCCTGGGGCGCTCAGCGAAGAATGAAGCCCACTTTCGTGGTTTATGTGCAATGCCCTACAAAATGCAAAAAACCATTTCGAAAAAGCGGGGCACGGCCTGAACGACCTGCCTTGTTAGAGCCGCTTTTCTAAGTTGTCACTTGCGTTCAAGCACCACCATCGTTACCTTTTAAGCCCAATTCTACCTAAGAACAAGCACTATCAACGAAATTCAGTCATACGCTGAGAAAGGGAACCCTTCGCATGTCAAAGGAAAGTTTTGACTACAATCAGCGATTTCTGCCGTCGATATGGTCACCTTGTTCGATTTAATAAACAGTGTTGCCTTGGTCTTTTAGCACGACTGTGGCAAGACCTCCGTTGGCTTCGCGATTGTTACCAAAAGGTCACACGAAAGGCAAAGACAAGAAATCATGAGCGGTTGTTCTGTATTAAGTTATTAGAAACATTAGTTGTGGTAGTGCCAAATACGGTATGCTTATGCAAGCAAAAAGAAGTGCGCAAGTCGAAGCAGTTTCAGCAGCAGTTTTTCACTCGCACTATACAGTTCATGCCTGTTCGCTTTGCAAAATGCCTCGGTTAACAAATGTACCTGATTTCCAGTGAGAGAAAGAGGAAAGGCAATGTAAAGGTCGAGAAGTAAAGCGCAAACATCGCACCACTGCAGTTGTACTGTAATCACATAGAAACTGATATTGCTGAACTTCTTCCAGCCCTAAATTTCTGGATATGCTAAAACAGTGACAGTCAAAATCAAAAGGGTGAAAGGCATTGGCGTGATCAAGGTTGAATTGAGTTTTGTCTTACTCTGTAGAGTGTAATGGCAAGAAGAGTGTGTAATCCAAGCCCAGTGATAGCTGGAATCAATATAAGAAGCGAAGCAAGAAGCCGAATCTCGAACGTAGCCTCCACGTTCATTGAATCTGCACCAGTCTAGACGGTTAGCGTGCAAGGAAGATCAGCATTCAAAACCAATTCGGTCACATCTTTGCGTGATAAATTTGGAAGACTGAACAAATAGAGAAAGAAGTATCTGATATAGTCGCAGACATAGTAACTCCAAGCAGATAGATGCAGTTTCGTTGGAGCCTGTAGTGATTATCCTAAGAAGCCTATCAATTCGTGAGTAACTGACGCAAATTTAATTGGCGCTGGGCTGTGGTAAAACATAGTTCAAGCAGCTTTCGATTTTGTTAGATCGAATT